TCAACTTCTTGCTTTAATCTCATCAGTTGTTCGCAGTAGAGTTCATCAGAACAGCTCATAATGAATAATGCCCTTTCTATCCCACCATACACACAGCATTACCATGTTACGAGATAACCCAGATTTCGCGAGAGTCTGTGAACCTGACGCCTTTGACCACGGTCTTTTTCGCACGTTCTTGTCGTACGTGATCCACTTTTCATCACCAGTTATTAGGTTTTTCAAAAATGGTTCGGTTTCATTACGTCGTAATAAAGAATCACAAATGAGTACACTTATGGCATAAAATGTGCGGAATGCCATTAAATAAAACTCACAAATGTGCTCACTGTTAATTGTATTACATCAGAAGAACTTTAGATGTGTTCACAATATTTTCACCCTTAAAATAATGTTATTGTTAACAAAGAGACAAGTCGACCGTTGTGTTCTCAGTGGCGAGTCCCGAGGCAGAGGTAACTCCCCGGTCGCCGACCAATCAGAGGCGACTCGTTTGCAAACCGCGAGTCGCGCGCTTTTGCGCGCTAAATTTAAAATAGACGCGGCGGTTGTTTTCATCCGCCACACACTGTTCATTAGGTTTCTTTCAGCTCATGAGGCACCCAAATATCGAGCTTTTTTGTGGAACCAGCTTTTTCAAATGCGCCAAAACTGTTTTGTGGTTAATTCCCAGTTCCTCAGCTATATCGTAACTACTGATATGCCGATCTTGCTCTACTTTTTCTCAAAAATGACATCCATTTTATCCGTAACCCACAGCGAGGTGCATCTTTGACATCAAAATTTCCGGATTAACAATGCTTAAACCAAATTTGTGCTACTCTCGCAGACACCGCACTAGGTCATAAATATAACAGATTTTTTTTGCGGCTTTGCCTTGCATTTTTACCTTTTAGTAGTAAAATTTTAAAATGTATCGAATTTATTCATTAGAATCACTCATCTTAACAGTAAAAAAATCAAATGAAAATCATTTTCCTAATTTGAATTTCTAATTATCTTTTTTAAAATTTAAACTTTTTAATGATACCAAAACCAGCCAAGTACAAATGTTATAGCTAAAGAAATTATATTATAAGCACATACATACATACTATTTGCGAAATGACTTTTTCCCCAACCTAATATAACAATTGCGTGTTGTTGGGCTATTTTTGTTAATGAATAGGGGGAATGTACTACATCTAGCCAAAAAGACCTTCTTATACAAAGCTCGGGCCCTTGTCAATGAATAGGATGAAACAGCTACAGGTGAAGGTTTACCTAGGCACTGAAATGAGATTTGTATTCCTTTTGGACCTTTTTTATGTGAGAAGGTGGCAACGAGATGGCGGTTCTCCTGATGTTTAGCGATAACCTCCGCCCATTGACATTCGCAACACCCGTAGGATTGATTAGAGGCGTTGCCACCTTTTAATTACCGGCTAAGTACCTCCCTCTCCACTCCACTCAGCTGAAACCTTAATGCTAAAATATGTTTTTTTTTATTCGTAATGTATGGAGCTTAAATTTAAAGATTTGTGTATTAAACGAGAAATGTCGTCATACAATAATTTCTAACTCGCAGTATCATTAACATGGAAACTCTCCGGAAATTAAACCGAAATTGCGCAGCTGACATCCATTGGGAGGAACCGTAACGTACACATTCAATTAGTCTGAAAATTATCCTATTTATTCAGATTTATGTTTGTTTACCATCAAGCAAATATATGTAATATGTTTACTCTTCTGACTAATTTCTTTGAGTATTTTTGTAATTTTTCTGAAAAGGATGTCCCATAAAAATTTTTGTTTACACATTGTAGACTTTGTAGAGCTTCATCGGACACAGAGCTCATGTGACTACCATTAAGCAGGGTGCCATGGTTTCATTTCTCCTAAATGTATCTAAATGTAAAATCTGTATGTAAATTTATGGAAACAAGAGCCGTTCAGGGAACCATGGCGGGAAAAGCGGCCGGCTCTTTTTTGTCAATAAAGCCCGTGGAGACCATATTTATCTAAATTGACGCCACAAGGGCATTCATACATCAATTCGTAAGCTTTCATCGTCATAATGTGTCAAGTTACTTGAAGGTAAAGCGTGAAACCAATGAATCAATTTTTTAGATGAGACGCCTACAAAACGGACACGGTCTAAATCACTATCTAAAGATTGAAACATAGGCCTCTGTTATCTCTGCACCAAAGTTTTCAACTTTTTAAACGGTTTTATTTAGCTTGACTTGTTTAGGACAAATCTAGTAATTGTTTGACCCCCTGCCTGACGAATTGATCTGAAATTTGGTACGCACCTTTAGTTCTGATGACAATACAATTTAATACATTCGGTACCTATCATTGTAAATCCAAAATGGCTACCGCTACAAAATAGCGGATTACATATTTTATCACTACTTCCTCAATATGGGTATCAAATGAAAAGGCTTGAATTACAGCATAGAGATATTTATTAAAAATATAATGAAAATCCAATGTGATCGCCAACAAAATGGCAGGTTCATTTTTATTTTCACAACCCCTTCAGTATGGGTATCAAATAAAAGGTCTTTACTGGTAGAATAGATAGAACTATAAAAAAACTAAAAATTTGAAAATAAAAAATGAGAAAAAAAATGTTTATTGCTAGGCATTAATCAGACAATTCGCCCAAAGATTTTACTTTTTGTCTGATCAATGCCCTAAATTGATGAGGAGAGTGGTGTGATAACTAGTATATAGGACCTTTAACGGTGGTAGAGCCCCGCAGCACCCTCGGCTGTTGCACGAATGGGCAGTCTCGTCCGGGTAAGTACCACGACCTCACAGAAGACCGGCGTAAAGTGGAAGTGTGACAAATACTTTCGTGTTTCGTCTGGTGAGTGAGGTAGCCGGAGCCCAATTTCCAAAAAGGTTATCAACGCATCTGCAAACCCTCGGGTGTAGTAGATGTCTATGGGCGGCGGTTTTTACTTAACATCAGGTTAACCGTATGCTCGTTTGGCAACTTTACACTTAAAAAAAAGAAAAAAAATCTACTGAATTATTTTTTCTTTTAGTACATTGTCTACATCATTTTAATCTTTATTTTCAATAAAACTGTTTTAACTTAAAAAAATTTTTGCTCACTTTTTGTTGGTTGCATCCTTAATTCAGAATCACAGCTACATATATTTCTTATAGAAAACAAGGAAAGTTGAAAAAGGAATGGTTCAATTTTTGGACACTATGGTAAGACCACAGTGCCGACTTTTCAGTGGCACGAATGAATAGGCTCGTCCTGTTTACTTCACGGCTTCGATGAAGACCAGCTTTAAGAGGAAGCATTATACCTCTGCTTTTCCTTAATATATTCGGATTTCACATTACTTTAAATCTGCAATCCACAGATGTTGTAGCCGTCGATGGGTGGCGGTTGTTAACATCAGGTAAACCGTCAGCTCACTTGGCACTTTCTCGTAATAAAAAGAAGTGGTGCAATGGTATAAGAGGAATGACAGTAATTTGTGAATAGATCGTCAAGAATGTATGAACGGTGAATCGTACTGTAAAGCTTCTAAAGTGTTATATACAAAATATTGAGGAGTTTATCACGACTTAGCATTATTCCTGAATTCAAGTTAATGATGAATGAAGTAGTAATTTTTCAGTTTTTCATAGTGCTATGTGTATTTTTTTTATAGAAGGCGGTTTATTCTGTTACAGTCTCTCAATCCCGACTTAGATATATAATGGACCATTATTCTTTAAAGTGAAAAGCGACAATAAAAGGATCGTAGACCTATTGTATTACAAAAATGTTAAAGTGTATATAATTAAAATAATAGTAATATATAAAAAGGTAAACAAATGGTTGAAAAATTGCATCGAGGTAGAAATTAAATACACAAAGATCAAGAAAACTTATTAGAAGTAATCATGTCGTTTAATATAAATAAAGTTGAGACGATTATATAGTACGTAAAAATTAATGATTATCTATACAACGTCGCGCTACTAGCGCGTCCTTAAATCAACACACATTTAAAGGATAACTTTTTAAAATTATAACAAACATTTATTTTCTTCAAACATCAATATTTACCGAGTTATAAAATTTTCCAAAAAAAAATCATTTTAAAACATCCGTAAGTATAAAACTGTATCGTAAAGTTCATTAACTTGTAAAGGTCTCAAAGCATATGAATTGGTTGAATTAACTTGAATGATACTTGTAATGCGACGTTGTGGCGACTAATAAAAAGTCTCTGAATATATGAATCAGTCAGTTGTAATTGTATAGGATGTTACAATTTTTTTTTATTTAATTAGTTTCTTTGAAAGTTACTTTTTTAATCATGGATTTTTTATCATCCTGTTAACGTTTTAGACTACCCTAACGATGATTTAAAGCGCGGCCGAAGTAATTGATTCTCTTGACAACGCGTCGCAGCAATTGCGACTACAACGGGTCAATGAATGACACAGCACCACTGTGCTTAGCACGGCACAATCCAGCGCGGTACATTAAATTACGAGGGCCGATCAAAAAGTTCGCGAAATGAAAAGGTCACAAAGTCAGGAACTGTCCCGTAAACCTACTTGATGACTCATTTCACTATAAATAAGAGGATTTCGCTATATCCAGTCAATCTTTTTCGAGTTATCACCAAATGAACTAGCCAATCGGGAGGAATATGTCAACTGTACAGAATAGAGTTTTGCGCTCTCTTAAAGTTTCTCGCTAACCCAGGGAAAACGCCGCAGATCAACATAGAAGAGGCATCATCTGCTTACGGGGACTCTTGCCCTGGAAAAACCATGATTTACAAGCGGCATGGCCTAGCCTAGCAAGATGATGACTGCCTAGATCCACCGATTGAAACCACTTCCTCAGACACTGTCAAAAAATTGGAAAAAATTGTTGTTGAAGATGCTCGTTTGAAACAGAAGCAATTAGCAGAAATGATTGGATTATTATCTAGTACCATTTTGAACATTCTCCATGATCATCTTGGAATGTCAAAGGTCAGCGTAAGATGGGCGCCGAGAATGCTCACAACACTCCGAAACACCGTCCAGGAGGTTTCAGAACTCTGTAGCGAATCGTTACTGGGGTAGAAACGTGGATTCATCACTATGAGCATGAGTCCTAGCTGGAATCAATGCAATGGCATAAAATAATTAATTATTATATAATGAACAGACTTCAAATATCTCACTCACTATAAATTTTCGATTTAATTTTGAGGAGTTCCCCGATGTATCACCGGAATCCTAATTAATATTGGACTACATGGGACCTAAACCGAAAAAAGCTAACCGAACCCAAAGCAAAATGAATTTTTAAAATCGATTCGCAATAACGGAGTTGTGAGTTTGTAAAGTAACAAACTTTAAAAAAAACATACGACCGAATTGATAATCTTCTCTTTAAAGTCGGTTGAAAAATAGCAGTGACTGATATTTAATAATTATTTATACCCTTTTAAAGGCAACACTACATTCGCTGTCAGATAATTTTTAACTGACAGTTTACACTTCTGAACTTATGATTGTGTTTGTGATTTTGTGAATCACAATATCAAGCTGATGCGTGTATGTTGCTAAAACAATTCTTAGTTAATGTTAGTCTGCAAAATTAAAAAAAACATGGAACCATTATTTTTCAGTGCTCAACCAGTGAAGTTCTTTAAAATCTAATGCATTTAGAATCACTGTATACAGTCATGTGGAGAATTTATATATCCATTTGTTTATTTATATTTTATTCTCCTAGTAGCGCTTCAGATGAAGCAAAAGGAGATAAAAATGTGTCTGTTGACTGTAGTACATTACGATTAGGTCAATATATATGTCCTGATCCAACGATTAACCAAATAGACCCAGATACACAACAGTATCGAGGTTGCATAAAGGGAAAATTAGTTCCATCTGAAGGCGAAGCTGATGGTAAGAGAGATCTTTTTTTAATACATGGCAAATCTTTTAAAAAAATAAAATTATATATAAATAATTGTTCAAACTATTGCAGTGATATGCAAAGCAGCAGATGGCATTATCTGTAATGAAACAAAAAATTCAACATTTAGTAAGAAGTTGCCCTGTAAATGGACGTAAGTAACAATAAATTATTATTTCTTTAAATTAAATTTTTATGACAAAATGACCCCATCCTATGGTAATTTTATGGTAATATATTTTTATTGTTTTAGAAACGGCTATTCACTCGAAATAGCTCTGTTACTATCGGTCTTCTTGGGAATGTTTGGTCTGGACAGATTCTATTTGGGATATCCTGGTATTGGTCTAGCTAAATTGTGCACGCTAGGATTTATGTTTCTAGGTCAACTCCTAGATATAATTTTAATTGCAGCACAGGTAAGTTATTTTTGGTTTATAGCGATTATTTACAGCCTCTCTTAATTTAATTAAAATTATTATTTTTTTTAGGTTGTAGGACCGTCAGATGGATCTGCATTTGTTATACCCTACTATGGAGCAGGAGTAACAGTTGTCAGAAGCGATAATGAAACTTACCTACTTCCTCAGGCAGATTGGCATAACATCACCTGACAGTGGGGATTTATATCCTTTGAAGATGATGAGGATTATGAATGGACATAGTTGTTTTCTAAATAATGTGAAAGTGAGTAAAAGCAAGTGTGATCGAATGAAATCAAACTTTTTAAATAGTGTACAGTTTTTTCATGAATAAAAATATTATAAAATAGTTGAAATTCTTCCATTTACTGTTATAATAATCATGTTAAGGCCATAACATAAAAAACAAACTTTGATTTCAAAATGCTTGTGTAGATAATCTATAATCCATTTGCTAATAGGAAACCTGAGGCTATTAATGGCAAACTGTAAATAAAATATCTGATTAGGGTAGTAGTTAATGAGATTTAAAAATTGATAAACTTGTCATTATGAATTAGTTTATTTATACAATAAATTACCTATAATTTTTAACAGCTTTTTATTTCTTTTTCACTATCATGTATTGCTGGTTGTGTTTCTTGGACTGTAATATCTGTTGGTGGAGCTGATAATGTAAATATTACTGGTATATCTGCCAGTACTGGGTTACCGTATTGCTCTAATAGCCTAATCCATGATAGGAGAGAATCCCTTGATGATGTTCCTGTGAAATAGTACCACAAGAATATTTAATTTCAAAGAACAATAAATTTGAATTATTGCAATCAGGTAAACAAATAAAACAATTATTTTCGATTAGTAAATTAAGATACGATTATAGCTTATGTTTATGTCGGTAGTGTAACATGGTTGTGAGATTTATAAGAATATGCAACTATCACCTGTAGCACAAACTGAAACAATAGTTCCATCATCTTGTTCATGAACTGTAGATTTAACAGTAGGTAATGTTGTATTTCCAATGAATCCAGGTATGCCTGGAGGTTTTTTAATGTTTGATACATCTGTAAGGTTAAAAAAAAGTAATTTTATAAATCATGTATGTGTTATGTGCCCAATGATTAAGAATTATTAATGTAAATTACTATATACACCAATATAAAAGAATTATTATTTTTAAGACCTGAAATTGAAATGATCTAGCTGTTGTGACAGATGACCGCAGCAGATGGGAATTCAGAATTTTAATCAAAGGGTAAAATAAGACCATGCAAGTTCATCTTGGGTTCTTAGTTATGAACTTAAAATATATTTTAATCCTTTGTGACAAGCCTATCCCCTCTAAGTTAAGATTAAATAAGCCTAATGAATTGTGTTAAAGCATTTGGCATTTAATTTGTGGACAATATAAGAAACTTACCATCAATGTCTCTATCATCTTTGTACTCTGGCCTGATTTTACCCAGTAGCAAGAAGTAAGTCACAACCTGATCTTTTAAGTAAACAATAAAAGGGCCTTTTACTGTTAATGGGTCATCTGGAGGTTGTTCCATAAGCAGAACTTGTTGTGCTCGACTCTGTGCACTTACTATCCATGTTTTGTCTAGGGAAGCTTCAATTTCTTCTGTCTAAAAATAAAGGATTGAGGTCATCCTGTAGCTACAATTTACAGTTACAGTGTTTTATAACAATGTGTTAATTACAAAACAGATATTCAGATTCAAATACTTTTAATAGTGATGAGATATTATCTAAATTAAAAAAAAATTCAAAGATATGAAAATGAACATTTTAAAGGATGTATTGGTCCCTATATTGAGAGGAAAAGCCATTTCTTGTCTAAGAATGTAATTAAATATTACAAGTTTGTATACCTGCCATACACTTATTTTTGTATCTGGATCTACAGATGTTATCCTTTGTATAGCAAGCTTTGCCAAATCCAGAGTATCATTTGGCAGCTGATCAGGTAAATACCATGGACTAAGGTTTTTAAATTTAGGCATCCAGTACATCATACGCCAAAACTTGCGTAGGGGGATACCTCTTCTGCCAAATATATTTAACAGCATTTGTTCCATTTCAGAATCAGGCATAACACCTATTGATGAAAAATATTATCATGTATTCATAGATGATATTTTATAAAAGTTATCAGATTTGAAAAGGATAAAATAATAATGGATGAAAATCTGTTACAAAACTGAACGCCATTAAAAAAAAATAATATGCATAGTAATATGTAAAATTATAGCAATAGCTTAAAGCGATTTTTGATTTACAGGCCTTCTAATATACTTATTAAATTTTTACCATTATCTTCCATTTGCTCTAACAAATCCACAATACACTGTTGCTGTTTTGGATAATGCATGAACTCAGCTTGAAAAATATTTGTTGGTATAAATTTTCCTTTTGGTAACACATCAACCAAAGCCTTATACACTTCTAAATCTTTTTGTACACCAAACTCTTTCATGCGGGCTAAAGCAGCATAAATGAATTCAACGTGCCCTCTTCGACGTATATCATTGCCCTCAAACATTTTTATAACTTCTAAATATGTCTCTTTATTTTTTTTTGGTTTCGTTCCGAAGTGATCATAAATTGTTACACTTTTTTCTAGGTTTCTTTTATTAGAGCTCTTCCATCGTATTGAGACATAAGCAGAAGTCGAACGTGTATTTCTTAACATGTTAATAAGCATTTTCAAGGCCATTGTGAATAGAAATATTTATTTCTTAAAATTATAAAACATTTTTTCTGAGGAACACAATTAATTGATTTAAGGTTATGTTGTTTTTGAATACCTACCTAGTATCTATAAATATTACTTTGACGTTTGACATATGAAATTATGAATGAAAACAGTCCAGTATTCGGTAAAGTTTTTTTTAGTCATCGTTTTTATTAAGTTTTATAGCAGGGAAATATAAAAAGTAATACATGAATATTACAGTCCAAATAAAATCCAATTAACATGTTTTATTCTTTGCTCTTCTAAATTACTTGTGTTATTAATGTTTCCGAACGAATTAAGGTTTGTTGTGTTTACTGGTATCTGATTGGTTGCCGAGACTAAATGTCAAGGTATCTCTATCTTATATTTGCTATCTCTTTTCTGAAACTTTGTGGTTCATTCGAGTTGAGTCCGAGTCGTTTTGCTTTGCATTTTGCTTCAGTTTAAATTTTAATATGGTACGGAGAGGACGTACTACGTGCATTGGTTTTGTTGCGTATTCAAATACGTAAAGTTAAAACTTTTTTATTTGACATTAAAAGTACAGATAGTTGCAACTAGGCACGTAAATTATATTTAATAAAATCGTCTCCGTCTCTATATACTATTATTTATAGAAAATTCGTTAAAACTAGTTTCTAAAGGTGTAAAATTGTAATCAACATGTCGAAAGAATTAATTTACTGTTTATTTATGTTATTGGCGTTTAACAGTATCGGTAAGTCCTATATAACATACGTTTACTGTTCACTTTATCTTTAAAATTTAATAAAAAATTGATGTCATGACAACTTAATTTATTAAAGGATTCATCCAACTTTATCAATATAAAGAGATAAATAGTAATGTTAATAAAATATTCCATCTAACTTTTAAAATAATAAACTCCACTTTTCTTTATATTTTCATATTTAATATAAATGTTGCTACTTTGTTTGTGCTGATTGATACAAACATAATTTTTTTGAATGTATATGAAAATATTGTAGGATAACATTATGCTTTGTTGTCAGGACATTTTACATACTTACATAAATTTCATACAAACACCCAGAACTAAAACAATTATCTGTGGGTTACACAAATAATTGTCCTGTGTTGGAATCGTACCCACAAAACCTAGTGGCGAAGGATTACCTTAGCCACTGCACCAAGGAGTCATTTATATTAAGAAATTAGTAATGATAACCGGTCATATACATGATTCATTTTTAACTTACGTGTATGTTAGAAGCAGTAACTAAACTTTTTGTGTTTATGGCAGAGAGCTCGATCTATTTTTTACATTGTTTTAAACACTAGTTTCAACACAATAATGGGCACCGGTCCAAAATAACATCGATTCAGCAAACGTTCTGATTATTAAAACTACCTGTCAAATTTTGCCTTTATTTTACTACACAGTAGATAAAAGGTAGTCATTATTTGTATTGTGCTTTTAGTTGATCGCCAATGAATATTTTTAAAGTATAATTCTTTGGTTATATGATATTCTTATATATAAAAATTGATTGCTGTTCGTTAGTCTCGCTAAAACTCGAGAACGGCTGGACCGATTTGGCTAATTTTGGATTTGATATATTCGTGGCAGTCCCGGGAAGGTTTAAACGATAAGAAATTATGGAAAAATTACATGGAAAATTGAAATAGCAACAAGTTTATTTTCCCAAACAAACTCTACCTGTCAACCTGGCAAACGATTTTGAACACGTTCCGATTCCTCTAGAAATAATTTATATGGCAAAACAACGTTTGCCGAGTCAGCTAGTATGTGATATAATTCTTTGATAGTTGTTGTTGCCGATCTACATTGGATGTCGATGTCATTTGCATTTCGAGAAAATTCGTTTGTGTAGGTACGTAATTACGGGGTTTATAAATTTTATAAATGATATTAGTTACGGCTGTAAATTCAGTAATAAATGCTAGATGATCCTTCATGTCTACTTGAAATCTTTCCTTAGAATGGATAAAATAGGAATAATAAATACCGTAATCTTTGCTTTTGATCAATAAAGTTCTTTTTGAAGTTGAAGTGTAATACAAGTACAATTTTACTAATATAAAATAAAACCGACGTTAAATATCTCCTCACAGTATATTTTCTAATTAATTTTGAGGAGATCACTGATTTTTTTAAAATTGGTTCATAAACGTGGTGTTTTGAGGTGACAAAAATAAAATAAATAATACAACCGAAATTACAAACCCCTCCTTTATTGAACTCTGTTAAAAATACGTTTTGTGATATAAATTAACATTTCGTAGTTCCCAGAGAAAGTCAGATTTTGAAGAAGCAAACGTAATAACATAAAAACTCAAGAACTGAACTAAACTTGTTTAATAACAACTGATCAATAACATATTGAGACTGACATGTAAAACATATTGAGACTATTTTTGGTTGGGAATTTGAAGCAGTAGACCCCATGATATTATAAACAAAACGAGGTAGACACTAGCGCACCGAAACTGAGGCACTCATATTACGCCAATTGATGTAATTAGATTGCAATTCTATAGACTGCTATCTCTTTCCGTATCATACGTTCTATATCATCGGTTACATTCTTATGTCATGTAATGTAAAGCGGAAAAATTTTTAAACACCGCGCAGTATGGATCGTTTATAATTATTAAATCTATTATTTATTGCATTTATACCGCGCATAATATATTGCTGTTCGACGCAAATGATAACAAAGAGTACAAATTGTTCACAAAAATCTTTATTCGTAAGGTCGGAAGATAATACAAAAAATTAACAAGTGCACACGAATTTTTAATTTTATCAGGTAACATCATAACATCAAACTTAAATAATTTTTTTTGTAGGTTATTAAAAGATTAGAAAGTGACGAGTTTTTATTGCGGATTTTTTTTACATATAATTTAATTAGATACTTACGGTTCATAAATTTTATCAGGAATATAATCTAACTTATAATAATAACAAATAATATCCGTAAAAATAGTTTATATGGATTTTATTGACATTAAAGAGACATTTTTTAAATTATAATGTATTTATGCAGACTTCCAGTCGTTTTTATGTGATGTATGTACATCATATAAAAACGAAGGCACTATATCATAATAATTATATAAAATACTGAATAGTGAATTAATTTTGCCAAGGTGTAACACCTGTGCTAACATGTTTATATTGTTCTTTAAGTAAATAATTCGAATTTGCGTAATTGTACCATTGAAATTTCAATTTTGGGAATTCAATTAAAATCTGTATATTAAAAGGACGCTTATATTATATACCTACATGATACTTCACGATTTCAATTTATGTTTAGGTAGGTATTGAAATAAAATTTTGTGTCATTACCGATATAACAGAATATATACCATTAATGTATTCCCTCTGTTGACTGCCTGACTGATCAATTTCAAGCGAAACCAATTTAACTAGACACGAAATTAGGACAGTAAGCAGAAGTATTTCGTATCAGCATATTCACATTATGGGTTCAAATATTCCGCAAAGAATTGTATGATGTGGTGAGACGTTACAATTTAAGCAGAACTCCGTCTGTAATCCAATTAAGGCTGTTATTTAGGATATTAAATTTCGAAATAAGCATTTTATACTGAAGCATTTTAAACTAAATAACAGTATGGTACTGACGTACGACACAAGTGATACAAACGCGTGTAATTTCAAATAAAGAATGATTTTTTTATACTTTCGTCGGAGTGTGAGGTAATCGGGATTGTCCTTCCAAAAGGTCGACAGTTCCTGAGAGAGTGACCATAATAAATTTATAATTATAAGCTTGGTATGTCGGTGGTTGTATCCCCACTAGATGGAGTGACGACCTGTGCAAATGTGCGGGAAGTCGATGGATGCAGGTGGTTCAGGATCGTACTTCGTGGCAGTCTATGGGGGAGGCGTATGTTCAGCATCGTCATCATCGCCATCATTTTAGACTCAAACAGGCTGAAATTATGATGATGATGAGGGTTCCCTGTGGGCCCGACATTGCTACATCAGCGGCCCCCGCCGATTCGCGATAGCGGATAGGGAGAGCGAGTAGACGCAATACTCCTCTTCCCATCTAAATCTACCTCGGTTGTAGAGGACAAGGCGAGTGGCTCCATCGCTTCCGCCCTCAACTAGTCTGCCGACTGCGCGCCCGCATTTAAAGTGGGCTAAACGAGCCTCCTTGGAGCGGCCCTTTCTGCCTTACGTCATAGACCCACACAGTGCGGGTTCCTATTATACTTCGCCGTGGGAAACCAAGCCATGGACACTAAGCCGACAAGACGCGAAACCAGTCGGAGAGGTTACATCGAATCTCATGCTCGCTTACCATCTTTCATTAAAAAAAAAACTGACCACCATCTGCATCGCCTTGACGCGTCATCATTTAATAGCTCCCTTTCTCGAATCCACCTTTATTCGATTTTTTAAACGATAGCTAATGCGTATACCATTGATATCTGGAATTTAACTCTATTGACCTGCCCAGTGAACGCTCCGCATTATGTCGTATCGGAACGGTCAAAATACCTTATCAATTGATCCGTTTCATTACAGGCCTAATCGGGATTTACGGCCATAACGGCATAGTTTGCGATGCGAGCCGTATGAAATTGTTTTAGGTATGCGAATTAACCGCTCGCAGGGGGCGAGTTTAGGCAAACTACGAAACCGCTAACAATAAATACGGTAACGATATGCGAGTTGTGAAACAAAGTTTATGCGGCCTTTAAAATGTGACTGAATGGATTAAATATGGCGTTGTTATATCGTCGCAAAATTGTTTCCACTGCTTATATAATATTAATTTATGATGTACAGTCATTTATATACTTGTCAACTTGTCATGCCGATAATTAATAACTGATTATTTCAAAGAAATCAATACTAGGTTATCCATTATAATTAGAGATTAGTTTGTAAAGTAATCAGGAGGTACTTTATATCTTTAACACTTTAAAAAAAAACTAAAAGCTTTATTAATCTTGATTATTATAGGTTTAGTTTATATTTTAATTTAACCGCTCAAGATAATTGAGGAGCGTCGGATTAAAAATCGGATAAATCACATTTTTTTCACACATTTTTAATCACAGTTTTTACGTTAAGTATGGAAATCGGCAATTTACCTACATACATATCTATAGCCATTTTGTATTAAATCTATTTATAAAAAACTAAATCCTCTTTTAAAACTTTCTAGAAACAAAGTAATCTGAACATAAACCGATAAATCAATCGAATTGTTTCATGATTGGAGCATATACGACTAAAACATTAGAAATATTCATGTGCTATGTATGTGGTTGGTTGAAAACCGACAGATCCAGATTGATAAGACAGGGGGGAGTTTTATTACTGGGTCGACTTTGGAGTTTAAAGAATGTCAAAAATCCTAGAAACATTTTATAATTTTTTTTTAATTTCTCGTCACATTCTGCACACATAAATCAAAACAATGTTACCAAGACATACAAGAAAACTTTGTTCATTTCTAAATTGAAATTCCCTGGATTATTAAATATTATGTACTATTTATATTTTTATTTTTCCCGAAAAAATGCATGTGATATGAGTGTATATTTGTGTTGGGTTTTTGTTCTGCGCTCCTCAATTTAACTGCTATTTCTTTGAGATAAAATATTAATATTATTTGTAGATCATCTGAAGATAAAGCGAAAGTGAAGCCTTTGACGTTTGTCATGTAATCTTAAAGAATTCTG